TGCTGAAAGTGTGAAACTCCAAATACATTAACGTGTAACAGGGAGTATTCTCCCATGTGGGTAACTCAAAGCACTATACCTGAGCGTGCTTCATCTCGTACCTGTAGGAAGACAGGCTTGTGTGGCTGTTGTGTGCGGCCAGGGTTTACAGCTGCCGCAGCAGGACTGCATTCCCACTTTAAAGAGATGGTGCTTTTCCCTTGGATGCTGCAAACCACAGTAGTGCTTCGGTGGGGAACAGGAAAGCAATCTGGCTCCCTCTTGCTCAGCTGAATTGACTTCTGATAAAAGAAATACACAGGGTGAAAGGATGAGTGTCAATTATTCACACTATGGCAATGACATTTTTTCCTGTTGTTTCCAAAGAAGAACCTTAACCTGCGTGTTTGCGATAGTCAGGTGCAGCTCAACCCAGCAGCAAAGGCTGGGGCAAGCCTGCCGCCTAGTGCTCATTGCCAGCTGTCACTGCAAGGCATCTGCTGCAGCCGGGGACCGAGGCTGAAAAACAAACCAAGCAGGAACGGCTCGAGTCGCCTACTCCCATTCCCAGTGCTATCACATGCCATAATGCTACAGTCTGTAAACTGAACTCACCTTTATATTATGTACTCAGTGGCACACTTAAGGGTAGAAGTCTTCAGTCCCCCAGGCAGCGAGCTGGCTAATTCAGGTGCTAAGGTCCAGTACTGCAGTTTCTTGGCAGATGGAAGTATAACTTTGCCTAGGTACGTGTCTGGAGGCAGTCAGATTTGTCTTCCCCTGGTCGTTTTCTTTGGCTTGTCCCTTTCCCTCCCAAGACGTGGCTGCTGCATCCCTTCCCTTCTTCTAGAATTATGTATTGTAATGGGTTCAAGGCTAACATTTTTAATGCTAGCCAGTGAGGTGAAGCCAGCTGTAGGGACATTTGATGGCCCAGTGTGGGAGAAGGGAATAGAAATATAGACACAGGGAAAGTTAAAGTAAAAAGTATGCACAATACAGCAGAATAAAGGAAGGCATATGAAAGGCAACAAACAGAGTGGCCTTAAGAATGGATATAATAATATAATAGTAAAATAACTGCCCATGGTTGCCAAATAGATGATGGAGTGCACAACAAGCTGTGCTGGTAGTTACAATTGGAAGCACCCTGCCAAGCCTCTGCAGGATTCCTTCACCACGGGCGCAGGAAACCCCCAAGGCAGCTTCACCCCAGGCAAGGCAGTGTAGGCTTGACCCCAGCCCGCCGGTGTGAGCCAGCATGCTGTCCTCAGCTGCTGCAGCAGCAACGAAGGAGAACAGCTCTTGAGGCCCCACAGTCCTGCAGAGTCCCACGCCGAATTCAGTGCCCCGTGGCAAAGAGTTCAGCACTGCTCTTCCACAGAGGTGAAGTCATCCTAGAGAAAGATGAGGGTTTTGACCTGCTGGCAGCACAATCAGAGATCCCACTTGTGGTGTGACTACAGATGTGATTAAAACAGTAACTATCTTCTTTACAGTCTTTTGTCCAGAAAATTAACAGAACTATATTTCTGACAAATGAAAAAGGGTCAAAATAGAAAATGTTTTCAGTTTTGGTGATTTTACTGTTTTTACAAGAGAATATACTACATATTTTTTCCTTACAAATAACATGGCACCTTTTGATACCTAACAAGATAGAGACACTTCTGTGGCTTGTAATCTTCCCATTCCCCAGAAGAGCAGGTGATTTTATTTTCACCGTGAATAAGATCTATGTTATGTGAGTCAGGTTCATTTACCAGCTGATTGGCAATAAGAATCAAATGAATTTTTCAAATGTATATTCCCGATTCTCTTTCAGGTATGGGAGGCAATGTGTCATCTGGAGACATATCTGGCAAACACGTCTGACATATTTGCTTTCCTTTTCAAAGCTCTGGAAATCATGCAGGCATCCATGGTTCCTTGCTGAAGAGGATTTCATTGATTTTTTTTGCCATCAGGCTTGGTTTGCTGGATCTTTGTAATATTGTGGTTCTGAAATTAATGACTGGCTGTTAATTGTGACACACATAGTTTTATTTGCTCTGTCAAAATGCATTTAAAATAAAATACAAACTGCCAGAAACATGTGGGGTTCATGAAAAAATACTCAGAGCACAGTGAAATTTCATGCTCAGGGATTACATTTTCAGGATTGACTTTGTTTTGAAAGAAATCTCTCTTGTATTCTGTCTTTCATTTCATCTTGCAGAGAAAATGTCTGGAATGGTTTGTCTTAATGTTATCTGTTTCTTAAACTTAACACCACTCAGGAAGCTGGAATGGCTGGTTTATGTGGGTGCTAGGCACTCTGTCACAGGCACATTACAGTTTCTGCAGGAGTATAAACATGAATTCTTGACTCCCTGTGCAAGAGTTGGGCCGTGTACCTTCAGTGTGCACGTTGGCTGGTGTGTGAGCCAGCACTTGCACAGGTTAGGCAGTCAGTAAAACCAGGCCTGTGCACACCAGCTCAGAAAAAGTCCAGTGTGTAAATGCAGTTGATGAGATACTTGCCATCCTGAAACATCATTTAAGAATATCTGGTTTGTTCTATTAAAAGTGTTCTCTGAATGACCTTAAACCTCTTCCTCCATTTCCTAATGCTTTTTTTTTTTTTAATGAATCATGGGTTTTATCACACCCTTGGTGATTTAGGATTCGTCTGGGTGGAAAAAGATGCAGAGCCCCCTTTCATTTTTGGCTTGCCCTTTGTTTCAGATGTACATCACAAGCACAATTAAAACAAAGAGTAGCAGGCTAGCCAAACCTGTGCTGTGCCTGGGCACCCTGTGTGCTGCGTTCCTCACCGGGCTAAACCGAGTGTCTGAGTATCGGAACCACTGCTCGGACGTGATCGCAGGCTTCGTCCTGGGGAGTGCTGTAGCTTTGTTTCTGGTAAGCCCATCAGTCCTTCCACATTCCTTCCAAAAATACCTCCGTTTAAAAAAAAAAAATAAATAAAAAATTAAAAATTAGTGTTCTTTTGTGGCCTGGCTGACGCAGTTGCTAAGGAATAATTCTTAGCCCATCCAGTTATAGATATCATCAAAGAAAAATCTAATATGAAATCAGGTTAATATTAATTAACAAGGCTCACATGATATTTGTGCATTATATGTATTCCAAGATTATTTTAAGTACTGTAAATGTTCTGTTTTGACCTGTCCTGGAAAATGCTTTAAAGATGGTGTACATTTCAACTAATGTCAAAAGCAGGGCATGCCTAATACTTCTTCTCTGACATCCCTTTGTTGCAAAACCCCATTGTCTGCCTGGTATCTGGCAAAAATGTAGGGTATAGGGTGTTGCCTGGGGCTCTAACCAGTGGTCCTGGTTCCCCATTTTCTTTCAGATCATAAAATAAGTGCAATAGAAAGGAAGGTCAGGACAAATTCCCTGGCAGACAAAACTACCTCCCTTTGCAGCACTTGGAGTTGAGATGAAATTGCTCACTATCTCATAGGATAAAAAAATGTATTTAAATGTACCAGAGTTCTTCCCACAGAATCTAGAACAACATCTCTTTGGACCTTGGATGTTACTTGCTCCCCTGCTGGCTGTGTGGTTTAAATGTTTTGTTTGGTGAGAGATCTCTTGCTGAGGGTTTAACCTCGCAGGAAGCATTCAAGGGGATTATCACTATTACCAAGAAATGTGTCTGGCTCCATTTAATCAAAATATGCTTCAAAATCATCCTCCGCATCACAACAGACACCTAATGTCTGTAATCAGGAGGGATTAGATTCCAAAGGTCCCTTAAATCTAGATTGTCCTCTCACTGATTTTTTTTTCTGCTCTGTACTTTAAATCAAAACAATAAACCTTCACACATAGTTTATTCCCACGTTCCCTTTAAATAAAAAGATGTCTGCAACCTCTGACCTGAGTCTCCTTGGCTTAAATTAAGTAATATGTCTAATTCCCACTGGGAAAGGCAGCTTAAATTCAGCCCATGCAATAAAAGAGGCAGTCACCCCATACATCTGGTCAGGACAGTCTGTGTGCTCTCAGTACCTGTTTCTAGCAGTGACAGGCTGCTCCCAGACACATTTTGGCCCCGCAGACCTTCTGCCACACTGCAAGTGTCACGGGCCGATTGCAGAGCAGTGCAGGCATCTCCCCAGACCATGGAGGGGAGGAGTGCTGTGAGAGTGCTGCTGCCAGCACGAGGCTGCAGCCTGCAGCTTGCTCGGGTCTAAAGAGCAGTGAAAAAGAAGAGTCAGCAAGGAGCTGGCTGCAGGAATCTCTCTGACAGCAGATGTGTCAGCTCCTGTATGTTTTGTTTTTTTTTTTTCCATTGTGCTTCCAAGCCCCAAACTGCCCTGTGCATTTCCTCTTATTAGCCTCACCACATGGCTGCAGTAAGTCTGGTCACACACAAGGGAAGGGATTGTGGGATAAAAACCGCAGCAGTTGTGCTTGAAGTATGCAGGAATGGTGCTAAATGACCTTGATGTCATCCAGATGTGAGGTAGATTCAGCCATCCAGTGAGCTGTTTTCACTGTTTGGAAACGACGGTCAGATTCTGAAGGGAGTATCTAGCCAATAAAATGCATCATCAGGATAGTCCCTGGTTCCGTGATGATAAAGCAGACATGGGAGTCTCTGCTGTATAAAACATAAAAAGGCTGAGAAGGATTCATCACCTCAGATTACATGCCAGATGAGCCCATTTACTGAGGTCGTCCACCATGCCAAATGATGTCTGTGAACACACTCTAGCCAAAGGCTGAGATGATGCCTTGAAACAACCCCCAGGTTAAGTTCTTTGCAAAAACTGGCAGTTGTGATACCTTGTTGGTAATTTCAGTAATTTTTTGCTGGAGGCAGAACATGCTGAGCTCACTTTGCTTTTTTTTTTTTTCCTGCATTACACAGGGGATATGTGTTGTCCATAACTTTAAAGGCACTCATGGAGCTCCTTCTAAACCGAAGCCTGAAGACCCACGAGGAATGCCACTAATGGCTTTTCCAAGAGTGGAAAGTCCTCTGGAGACACTGAGTGCACAGGTACTACAGATCTTCTCACTTAGACCATCACCAAGCACATTTTCTCTTATGGCAGAATGAAAACTCTTTGTATACATAACTACATAGGGAGCTGGTTTTGTTCATGATATTAAGCCCATAGAACAAAGTGAGTTTGTATCTGAAGAGAATTTGTTTTAAGGTGTTTGTTCCTTAAACTACAAAATGCTCTAAATCTTCTCCCTCTGTGTGCATCAAAAGCTAAAGAAGTTGGATTTTGCATGTCTCTGCAGATGGTTTGTGATAGCAAACTTTTGCTTAGAAAAATGGAGAATTGAGAAAAAAGTAAAGATAATTCTGTCTAATTCCACTTCAGAATGCTTTTGGGATGTCTTGAGGATTTACTCTAGCATTTGTAATCCTGAGAATAAACTGTGCAGTCCAGAAAAAATATTGCAGAGATTAGTTTTTTATCCTTATGAATGGTCAGTATCCTATATAAGAAGAAGGAATCATTTACTGTTTTCTATCTCTAGGTCATGAGAACAGAAGTTAATAGCATTCTTTCAAGTTCGAAAAAAAAAAAAATCCTAGCAGGAGCACCATTGTTGATGGTGTTTCTGTTAAACTGCTGACTTCAAATGGCTTTCGCTGGTATAGCTGAATGATACCAAGTCCTTTCAAAACAGAGAAGCAAATGCCACCTGCCAAAAAATTTCTTGGAACAGAGAGGAACTGCAGTTTATCAGTTACCTGAACTGCTCTGGTGTAATTTATTTTGTTCTCTGAATTGTACAAGGTTTATTAGATGGCCTCTTATTCCTGTGTACGTGGTGACTGTGGCAAGATCAGTAGCAGCTTTTGTTAAACCCTTTGACAAATAAACTGAAAACAGGAATTTAAAAAATGGAAAAGACACAGTTTTCTAATGGCTGGAGATATTTTGTTTAATTGAAAAGTCAGTTTTGGTTAGGCAAAGATTTGCTGGAAGACTTTTAACTAAATCTGCAGAACTGTGTGCAGTAAGTGTTCTCCTGCTGGACTTGCAGTCCAGAAGCTGAGTGCTACTTACACATATACCCACACTTTTTCCTGTATGACAAAAGGGCTGAAGAGGTGAAAATATTCATAGACTGTGAGGAAAATTTTGTCTAGTCAGCTATCTACAGCTTCTGGACTGTGAAGTGCAGGTGGGGAGGAGGCCTAGTAACTCGCAGTTGCTGCTGGTGTCCACTATGATCAATAAGATCGTTTTCTTTGATGCAGGGTACCAGTCTCTAAATGACCATACATCTACCATGAGGGAGTACATTGGGAAAAAAGTAATCCTGCTCTGAAGCTATTAGAAACAAGTCCTTGGGAGTGGCTGTTCATTACTGTTTCTTCAGATATAGGAGGTGCATTTGTCCTCTGTGCAGATTTCTGCATCTATTGCTTCCCTTGTTTTGTCTGGAACCCACACAAACACTGCAGATGCAGCACGATCCACAGATGACTCAGTACTGACACTGAAGTCCTGGACATCAGCTTACAAGAAGGTTAAATCAAGACTGTTTCCAACTAAACAGGACTTCTGTGTTGCTATACATCTGTGGCTGCGTGGGTTTAAGCTCTGTATGTTCTCTAGCATCAAACTGTGTAGGATCTACACACGTCATGTAGCCAAACCATGGTCACATGAAGCCAAACCATGGTCTTTTAGGCTCTTCATGACTGAGGACAGACCCACTGTGTTATGTAACTGTATGAAGTGCTTGAGCCTGAACTGACATCCCCCTGGACAGCTTCAAGTCCAGTTTGAAAGTCTCTGTTGAAAAAAGTCACACCTTGTTTTTTACTGACTATTTGTAGCCCAGAAGCAGGGCTTTAGTTCATCATTTCCCACCATGAATGAGCTCAGGATAGATGGCAGTCACATCTCCAATGGTCCTTTCATTATAAAGACCTACTTCAGCTGGGCAACAGGTTTTATTGGTGAAGGTTTTTCTCATTCATTTTACACACTAGGAGGTGTAAAAGCCGAAACGTATACCAATGTTCACGCTTTTGCCTTTTCCTCTTTGCAGAATCACTCTGCCTCCATGACTGAAGTAACCTGAGATCGAAGATTGGCAACTGAAGCTATTTTTTATTACCCTCCAGTACAGTACTCCAAGACACACAGTTACTAAATGTCTAACTGTGATGACCAGTATTATGTTATGTCTAGTTAGAGGCTAATGTTTTGTACTTTTTTTGTATGAGGAAGTGATGTAGCTTGCCCTGATTTTTTGTCAGCTTTAATATTATTATGCCAGAATTTAAAAGCAAAATGGAAAAAGAACAAAAAAAACCTTTTCTTGTTTAAAGTGTGCACTGAGGAACTACATCTATGGAATTGTTGATGTTGTTATGTGATATTTGTACACACTTTTTTTTCATTTTTGAATTTATATATCTTGAAAAAAAAATTCACTTTTACCTTTTCTTACCATAAGAAGTGCTTCTACCAGTGGGTCAGATTCTGATCTGAGTAAGCTCAGCATAGATCTGAAGTAATTGCATATATTTAATTCAGATTAAATAATGGTCATCAGGAATCTAAACTGAATGATAACTATCAACAAGTAGTAAACATCCATCCTTGATTCAGTGAGCTCCTTAAGCACTCCTTAGCATTATGGACTTCAGCTAGCCATCCAGTTTCCAGACCATGTGGCAGACTTGAAGTGTGTCCTTAAGCACCTTACTGAATCAAATCCTGATTGTTCTGGTGTGGGTGATTGTGCTAGTTATTGAAGAATAACTAAAACAGCATACTCAGTCTGCAATAGAGACAGACTGGACCTGAAAATTTATAGTAGTAGCTGATAGCATGTGAGCTGACTATATCATCTCCCTGGATCTCCGTTCCTCCCCAAGGCTCAGCTGAAGCTCCCGGTGGAACCTGGCTTCAGGAATCGACTATGGGGATATACAGCCACCACTGTGGAGCTGAGGCTGAGCAGTAAGTGTTTCATGACTTCATCATAGATTTGTGGGGTAACTAGTAACGCTAGTGCAAAGGAAAAATGACACCACTTCTCCAGTGGAGTGGCATTACTTGGCATTCAGATTGGCGTAACCAAGAAGCCAGTTTTGTCCCTGTGGTAGTTTCCTCCGAGGGGCCTTGACAAGTTAAAAAAAAAATAAATAAAAAAAAATCCAAACAAACAGACACGGTCTGTGGTAGCAGTCTGCATTTTTATAAATTCTGCCATACTGAATTTGTATCGAAACTGCTATTTTACAATTTTAAAACCTTAAAGAATAAAAGGACAGTTATGTGTGGGTGGGGGTTGGGGAGAAGAAGAAAAGAGCCCATTCACAATGGCTAGAACTGGGGCAAAGGCTTCATTACATGGCTTTTCACTGTTTCTACGATTTTCCTGCATCTCATCCTTCTAGCATGGTGATAACTGCTGTGTGTCTCCTTTAAAGAATGGAGCCTCTGTCTGTACTATTACTGGAATGTTTACCTCACATTTCCATGTTGGTTCTTCTTGGCTTTTTTTGTATATTTTTTCCAAAACAGATGCAAAAAGAAAACCAATCAAAAAACCAAAACATGTAGCCTGGTCTCTGTCATTTGCCAGTGAATCAAAGAAAATCTGGGATATCTCTTTGTGTCTGGTCTTGCGGTGTTTCATCCAGGCTGGTATTTTCTTCTGACTCTACTGATGTCTAATTCAGTCTTAAGAACAGAAGGATCAGACATGGGTCCTGCAGGCTTTCTGTGACCACAAGGAACCATCAATAGTGTTCTGGGTCCCCTACTATACCTTTGATCCAAATTCCCCAGGGAAAATTACTGCTGAATAAATCTGGCTACGTAACAGGTCCGTGTTCTCCTGTGCTGGGACAATAATGGCACATTAGCTGAGCTTTTCAGCAATCAGTACTGCAGCCAACATGCCCAGTCAGCAGCACCTAAGTCCACTCATACTGCAAAAGGTTGGCAGGAAGTTGAATTCTAAGACAAAAGCTTTGCATTCTGTACTCTGTTTTTTGCAGCTTTGGTCCCTGGGGTTGTGTGCTTCCCAAGTGTGCTGTTACCACAGGGTCAGTCTTGTGTTCTTGCCCAATATGTTCCACAGATTTGGTAGCAATGATATCTCTACTTATCCTCTGCCATGATGGTGCAGGCAGTCCCTCTGAAGGTGGAAATTGTGGGTTTGAGTTTCTTCGCCATCCTCCAGGCTGAAGAAGGATTTGAATCTTCATTTTCCAATTCCTGAGGGACTGCTTTGTCCATAGTGCAGCATGGTGAGAGGCAACTCCCTCCACTCTGAAATAAGCGAGTGAGCCCTGCTCTCCAGCAGGGTACTCAAGGACTCCTACGGCCAGGAGAGGTCTGCAGGCAGGTGCAGATCCACAGCAGTGAGCATGCTTCTGTGCAAGTGCCTAAATTCTGGATGACTGGTTCAAAGGAGCCAGACCTGTCACACACATTCACCATTTCCTCATGACTAGCTCTATGGCTTTTTTACCATTTTAGGTTTAGGTACCCTTAGCCTTTTCCAGTGGACAGAAAACTGCTTGCACAAGAAATTGCACATTTGCTTTTCCCAGCTACCCTTCTCTTCAGGAGCAAAGTGTGTCCACCTCCTGGAATCTGTGACCCAGTGAAAAAATCTGTCTTAAGGAAGCCTGCAGATTTCGTTTATATTTTCTTTAGTTCCTGTTCTGAGGCACATCGTTCTCTATGTGGTGTGTACAGTGAGCTTAGGCAGCTAACAGTGGCTTTTGTAGTCCAGTGTTGTGACCAAATGTGTAAAATAAACACATAGCAGTGGCCAGCTTTTCATCCTGAAGCTGGACCATCTCTTAAGATGGATACATGGCCCTTGGGCTCTGTGCACTTTCACGCACTTCAGGTAGGAGCCTGGCCTATGGCATATGACCGGTGGCAGTTACTGACCCCTGCTTGGGGGGGGTGTCACCCAGCTGGGTGGCCTCTCTCTGCCCCCCAGCCAACGCCCACCTGACAGGGAAGCAGCTCCCCGTGGAGCTGTTGTTCTGGCTCCTCCCAGCGTGCGGGTTGTGCCCCTTGGCTGTGCGAAGGCTCTGCAGTGTCACCCTCGGGACCAGGAAAAGCACCTGCCCCCACCTCCATCCAGTGCCTGCAAGGAGGGACAACTGGCACATCTCATCCATCTGCAAGTCAGCACTGGAAATAAAGTGTTCATCCTCCCCCTGACCCGAACAGACAGTCTGGGCTGATGTGGTGGTGCAGGACAGCCTCCTGCAGCTGGCTGTAGGTGCAAAGAACCTCTTCATAGTACACCTGAGCTTCTCATGCATGGAGACACTGGCCCTCCCAGTCTGGCATTCACCCTCTCTGCTAAGAAATACCCTGCTAACCTGGCTGCTTTACACTTTCATCTTCTCTACTGGCTCTGCCTGAAACAAATGAAGATCAGTCCTCCTGCAACTGCACGGGCAGAGCTTGTATTTATTTGCTTATTTACTTACTTACTAGTTGAATTAAATAGAAATTAGGTGCTTTTGAAAGCCCAAGGACAAAACAGTAAGACTTAGCCCTTCCATGGCACAGGTGTCCTGTGCAGGACTTTGTTCTCACACTTCTGCTTTTTCAGCTTGTTAAAAGCAGTTAAAAATTCTGCATTTCAACACCCATGTCTGATCTTCCTCTGTGTATCATCCCCTGCAGCTTCTTGTACAGGTGTGCTGGTGGAACTGTGAGTTTTGCACCCCAGAGGGACTGAATGTCCATTTGACCCCACTCGGACACATCAAACACCAGACACAACTGCAGTCGTGCTCCTTTTTTGCCTGCTCTATTTTTTCAGTCATCCACTTCTCACACTCTTCTGATCAGCCTGTGTGAGCTATGCATGTTACATAATGGGAGGGAGAGGGGAGCCAGGGCATGAGCAGAAAGCTCAGCTACCACAGAAAGTGGTTCTTTAGATAATGAGCACTGAGTAAAGAAAACCAGGTGTGAGCTATCTCTCCTTTTATGGCAGGACAGCATAATTCCAGGAGAAAAATGCTCCCAAACAGCCTCTGAAGCAGAAAACAGCACTTGGTGGATAAAGAACCTGGGCACTGTAACACAAAAGCAGCAGTTCCTAAGTGTGCTTCAGGTGTTAGTATCCTAAAAGTTTCCAGAAATACCACACATACAGAATCTAACCCCACTGTAAACTTCTTTTGTAAAAAATATTCTCAAAGTACAGCACATTTCTCAGACTGTTGCATTTTCTTATCCTCCTGACTTCACTACTTACCTCCTGTGGTTAAGATCAAACCTACATTATCACTTAAGTGGGAAGAAAAACTGACACACAGTTATTACACACTGTTCCACAGCTACAGAAAAACTAAGATATAACAAAAAATAACTAATAGCTATTAGAAGCAAAAGAACTTATAGAAATGGGGTCTTCCAACAAACATGAAAGAATTCTACAGGCTGCCTTGTTCACAGGTGTTTTTATGCAGCTGTTGGAGAATTCAGAGTTAAGATTTCAGAATTGCACTTGGCACCATTTTCATGTACTGATATTTTAAGTGGTTTTAAGATGGCACCTGTGACAGCTTTTAAAAACTTTTTTTTCTCACCAACTCAAGGAAAAAAAAGCAAACATAGAGATGCTGATGGCTTACAAGCCCCCTCCCTCCCCAGGAGCTTGCTGGCCCTGCTAGTCTTGATGGCTGAGCTAAACAGGGTTCCCAACATAGACAAACTGCACTTGCAGAGGCCCAGTACACAGTTCAGGTGAGGATGGGAGGTGTAGAAGGTGCAAGAAAGAAGTTGGGGAGTTGGTCCCTCCCTCCATATTCCCTCTGGACCATAGAACAGTTGGGCAGTGCAGTAGAGGCCAGAAGGTATACCTTAGCAGCACTACTGGCCACACCGCATCAGTGCTTCACAAGAAATTCCACTCTTTTTTCTCTATGTAATAAACAGAAACAAGGAAACCTGAGGACAACTAAATGAACTTTTATTAGAGCTGTTCATATACTTGGTTGCTACCACAATGAAAGGGCTCCTGATTTGCAGTCCTGCTTCAGGAACACAAGCAGAGCAGTGCAGTGCTTCATGGTGCAACTCACCGCTTCCAGATAATCTTCAGGTTTGGGGGCAGTTCTGCAGCACAGAGCTCATCGAACTTCGACACATCCTTCACAGGCGTGCTATAGAACTTCACGACATCCTCAACGCTGCGCATCAGGTGGAGCTGTGAATTGGGGACAGCGTGGCCAAGTTCTGCTGCCAGCTGAGCCAGAAGGCGATACTTTAACCTCTTTTCACTGAGGGGTGCCTGCTGCCAATTATCAGGAAGGGAGGGTCCAAAAACCTCCCTGACATGAGACTCGAGGTAGCTCTGTATGTTCTCTGGAGGAAGATAGTTTCTGCTGCGTGGTGGGGGACAGATCAGGCTGGGTTCACTTTTCTCTTCATGAGTTACTTTCTCTGCTTCTACTTCTTTTTCCTGCTTCCTGTTGACACCAGACAAAAACATTTTCAGTCTCTGGGCTACTTAAGAGTTGAGTCAGAGCACACTTCTGTTCATAGCCTTTTCACGTCAGACTCAACCCAGCCTGTGGACAGCGAACACATCCCATGGACCTGGCAGGTTCATTATGCAAGAGCAAAAGCACATCAGCTAGCCATTTGGTCTTACCCCAGATGCTGCTGCTGCACAGACTGTATCTACACCTAGCTTATTTTATTAGTCTGAACAGAATTTTAACCAAGTTAATGACTTGTTTTCCCAACTACAGCTCCAT